CACGACCGCGACCACGACGACGACGACGACGACGACGACCACGACGACCACGACAACCACGACCACGACCACGACGACCACGACCACGACCACGACCACGACCACGACGACGACGACGACCACGTCTACGGCCACCACCACAACCACGACGACGACGACGACGACGACGACGACGACGACGACGACGACGACGACGACGACGACGACGACGACGACGAGACGACGACCACGGCGACCACGACGACCACGACGACGACCACGACGACGACCACCACGACCACGACGACCACGACCACGACCACGACCACGACGACGACGACGACCACGTCCACGACCACCACCACAACCACGACGACCACGACCACGACCACGACCACGACGACGACGACGACGACGACGACGACGACCACGACCACGACCACGACCGCGACCACGACGACGACGACGACGACGTCGACGACGACGACGACCACGACGACCACGACGACCACGACGACCACGACGACGACCACGACCGCGACCACGACAACGACGACGACGACCACGACGACCACGACAACCACGACCACAACGACAACCACGACCACGACGACGACCACGACCGCGACGACAACCACGACCACGACCACGACGACGACGACGACGACCACGACCACGACCACGACGACGACCACGTCCACGACCACCACCACAATCACGACGACGACGACGACGACGACGACGACGACGACGACGACGACGACGACGACGACGACGACGACGACGACGACTGGGGGACGGGGGAATGCACGCCCCGAAGGACCCCCAGGGACCCCTTTCCGTCGGGCAAGCAAGCCACAGGGAAGGGGCCTCCCCTCGACGCGACCGCCACAGGGAAGGGGGGTTGAGGAGGAGGAGGGGAGGGAGGAGGAGGAGGAGGAGGAGGAGGAGGAGGCCACCCGGGCTGGCTCGCCCCGGGCAGGGCGAGACACTGGAGGGAGAGCCTTGGGTGGCCGCGGGGACAGGGGGGCGCTTCGAGCGGCAAGGTGTCTCCCGGGCACGCCTCGTCTCCCTCTCGTTCTCTCTGCACGCTGGACAATGTGCCCATCGGTGCCCCCCGATTACAGTGGGGGCGCGTGCCAAGAAACCAGTTGGATTTGGCCAGGGTGCCCTGGGTTTCTTGGACTTCGATGGGTCCCCAATAAGATCTCTGGATGGTTTTCGATCTACATATTTGGGTTTTCATGGAACAGATCGCAGCTTTCAGGGTTCGGTTTTTTGCGGAGGTTTCTTGTGGCCGAGCCCCCACTGTAGCCCGACGCTGGTGCGGATCGCCTCAGCCTCGCCGCCGGCGAGAAAAAGGTGTCTCGCGGGCACGGCCCTGGACCACCACCCCAGGACTCCCTCCCACACACGCCGACAGGGTCGGCGGACTTGACGATGCCCATGCCAAGGACGTCACGATGCTGCTTGTGACGCACGATCGCTCTCTGCTGCAGGATATCCGCTGCACTCACGTGATCGAGATCGCTGAGAAGCGTATCATCCCCTACGTCTGTTCGGGGATCCTCGAGTGGGAGAGAATTCGAGCAAATCGCGTGAAATACCTCTACAACGAGATGGACAAACTGCAAAAGCAGATTGACAAGGCTCAGGCTTGGGTGAATAGATTCGGTGCCAAAGCCACCCTGGCGTCAAGAGCAAATAGTATGAAGAAGGAGATTCAGTGGAACAAGGACAAGTACGCGCAGTTCCTGGCGGAGACTCGCGGCTTGCCATCCGCCGACGTCGTGCTGGGGAAGGGTAATAAGGCGAAGGTGGATGACGAGGCCGCGACAGCTGACACATTAATTTTCCTCCTCCTCCTTCTCCATCTCGTCCTCCTCATCATCATCCTGCGCCTCTCCTTCCTTCTTTTATCCTCCTCAGTGAGGCCGCAACAGATGGCACTCTTCCCTTGTCGGGCCCCTCCACTGTGAACTTGAAACTGCCGGATCCGCCGCTCATGATGGAGCCGCCAGTCGACGGCGTGCTCGTGAGCATCAAGAAGGCGGACGTGGGCTACGAAGGGTCGACGCCGATCGTCAGCGACGTGAACATCAATATTTCGGTCAAGACTTGCCTGGCTATTCTTGGCCCCAACGGCACGGGGAAGACGACTCTTCTGCGCACGCTGGCAGGGACGATGCCGGCTCAGACGGGCGAGCGTCGGGTTGGCGCGGGCGGCCTGAGGATAGGGGAATGAACAATGACGTAAACATAAAAACTCGGAGGTCCGCGCGGATTTCTTGGATCCGCGCTGGACCCCCCTCCCTGGCGCGCGGAGCGCGCCAGGGGCGGCGCCGGAGGCGCCGCCAGGGGGCCCTGGCGCCGATCCGAGAAATCCGCACGGACCTCCGAGTTGTTCTGTTTTTTATGCCCTTGCGTGTTCCCCTGGGAGGAAGGCGAAGCTCAAGCTGTTCACGCAGGACCTGGCGCAGGACCTGCCCCTGGACACGACGCCGATCGACTACGTCCTCGACGGCGCGCCCATGAGCCTGAGCGAGCAGGACGCCCGCAAGGCCCTGGGCTCGCTGGGCCTGCGCCCCGAGGTGCACAAGTCCCAGATCGGCACCCTGAGCGGCGGGGAGACCGGAGGAGGAGGAGGAGGAGGAGGAGGAGGAGGAGGAGGAGGAGGAGAAGAGGAGGAGGAGGAGGAGAGAGAAGGGGGAGGAGGAGGAGGAGGAGGAGGAGGAGGAGGAGGAGGAGGAGGACGAGGACGAGGAGGAGGAGGAGGAGGAGGAGGAGACTGTCGGGCTCCAATCTTCCTCTGGGGGCCAAACAATGGCATAAACATGCAAATTCGGAGGTCCGCGCGGAATCCTCGGATCCGCGCTGGAGCCCCCAGGGGCGGCGACTCCGGCGCGTTCCACTACTCGCAAAGTTCGCGAAACGTCAGAAAATACACATGTCTGCTTCGATGTAATGTATCGTAGATCCCCCGCGGCGGATCCAGGCCATTTGCGAGCAGTTTCTTTGCGAGTAGTGGAACGCGCTCGTCTGAAACGGAAAAACAACTCGGGGACCAAACAATGACATAAACATGAGAATTCGGAGGTCTGCGCGGATTCCTCGGATCCGCGCTGGAGTCCCCCTGGCGGCGCCTCCGGCGCCGCCCCTGGCTCGCGGGGTCCAGCGCCGATCCGAGGCATCCGCGCGGACCTCCGAGTTTTTATGTTTATTTCATTGTTCGTTTCCTTATGTCGGGCCCCAATCTTCATCTGGGGAAAACGGGAAAAATACACCCCGACACCCACAGCTGACGTTTGCCAAAGACAGCGCTGGGAGTTTACGAAGCAGCCCTGCCCCGTTCGATGCTCCCTCTTTGGGTGAGTTTACTCTTTCGCTTGTCGGGGTGCCTATTAGGAGGGTGGCTCTTCTGCCCTCTACCTCAGACCGACGCCACGCCTGGCCGGGCCCCCAGTTTCCCCGATGGGTGCTTCTTACGAGGGTGTTTCTGCTCTCCATTTTAGGCCGACGCCACCCCTGGCCGGGGCCCCAGATTATAGTGGGGGCCCATGCCACAAAACACCGCCTCCAGGGTGCCCTGGCTTTCTTGGGTTCCGATGGTTTTGCGATGAAAGGCGTGACGTTCCCACACCAACAATCCATGGACGTCCTGGGGTCTCAGGGTTGGGCTTTTTGCGGAAGATTTCTTGTGGTCGGGCCCCTGCTGTACCCGATGTGGCGCGAAGATGAACCGCGCTTCTCGCATCGTGGCAGGGGCTGCAGAGCGATGGCGAGGCGACCCGCTCCAGGGATTGGCGGCGCGAGGGCGCGAAGAGAGCCGCGGGGCGCAGGGCGCGCAGCTAGGTGACATTGGGCCCGTGAGGAGGAGACGGGGAGGAGGAGGAGGAGGAGGAGGAGGAGGAGGAGGAGGAGGAGGAAGAGGAAGTAGCAGGAGGAGGAGGAGGAGGAGGGGGAGGGAAGGAGGAGGAGGAGAAGAGGAGGAGGAGGAGGAGGAGGAGGCGGAGCATGAGGAGGAGGGGGAGGAGGAGGGGGAGGAGGAGGAGGAGGAGAAGGAGCAGGAGGAACAGGAGCAGGAGGAGGATGAGGAGAGGGGAGAGTAGGAGGAGGAGGAGGAGGAGGAGGAGGAGGAGGAGAAGGAGGAGGAGGAGGAGGAGGAGGAGGAGGAGGGGCCCCGTCCGTGGACTTTCGGCCCGCCCGCAGCCATGATCGACGGCCACCTTCGCCGAAGCTCTCTCGTGGTGGTCCCAGGGTCCCTGCGCTCTCGCTGCGCATCCCCGCGGTCCTGCCGCGCCGCAGACGTGTCTCCCGGACGTCCCCCGGGCTGGCGCCGCACCCAGGGCGCCGAGCGGCCCTCCGAGCTCCGTCCTCGTGAGGCGGCCGGCGGCGCCGCGGCCGGCGGCGCCTTAAGTCGGGCTTGTCCGTCTATAGGGGGAATATTCAGAAATAGTCAAAACAAAGTCGGGGTACATGTTTTGGTGCTGTTTGGGGGTGTTATTATAATTATCATTATTCTTATTTTGATTTTTGTATTATTGATATTATTATTCGTATTACTATTAACATGATTGTTATTATTATCTCTAGTAGTAGTAACAGTAGTAGTAGTAATAGTAGTAGCAGTAGTAGCAGTAGTAGTAGTAGTAGTAGTATTAGTAGTAGTCGTAGTCGTAGTCGTAGTCGTAGTCGTAGTAGTAGTAGTAGTGATAGTAGTAGTAGTAGTAGTAGTAGTAGTAGTAGTAGTAGTAGTAGTAGTAGTAGTAGTAGTAGTAGTAGTAGTAGTAGTAGTTAGTAGTAGTCGTAGTAGTAGCAGTCAGTAGTAGTTAGTAGCAAGCAGTATCAGTATCATGTGTATTATACTGTCAGTATTTTGTAGTCACGATTAGTACCATTATTCTTAAGTGGTAGTAGTATGTGGTAGTAGTAGTAGTAGTCGTAGTCGTGTCGTAGTCCGTAGTCGTAGTCCGTAGTCGTACCGTAGTCGTAGTCGTAGTCGTAGTCGTAGTCGTAGTCGTAATAGGAGGATTAGTAGTGAGTAGTAGTAGTAGTAGTAGTAGCAGTACCAGTACTCAGTACCAGTACCAGTATAACAACACCTTACCGTACCAGTACCAGTGACTTGTACCAGTACCAGTACCAGTACAGTACCAGTACCAGTACCAGTACCAGACAGTACCAGTACCAGTACCATAGCACAGTACCAGTACCAGTACCGAGTCCAGTAAGCAGTAGTGGTAGTGGTAGTGGTAGTGGTAGTGGTAGTAGTAGTAGTAGTAGTAGTAGTAGTAGTAGTAGTAGTAGTAGTAGTAGTAGTAGTGGTAGTGCTAGTGCTAGTGCTAGTGCTAGTGCTAGTGCTAGTGCTAGTGCTAGTGCTAGTGCTAGTGCTAGTGCTAGTGCTAGTGCTAGTGCTAGTGCTAGTGCTAGTGCTAGTGCTAGTGCTAGTGCTAGTGCTAGTGCTAGTGCTAGTGCTAGTGGTAGTGGTAGTGGTAGTGGTAGTGGTAGTGGTAGTGGTGATGGTGGTGGTAGTAGTAGTAGTAGTAATAGTAGTAGTAGCAGCAGCAGTATTCTTGTCTTTGATATTATCACGATTGCTATCAATACTATGAGTTCGATTGTTGTTGTTGTTGTTGTTGCTCGTACTCTTTATTATTATTGATATTATTATCAATATTATCAGTATTCGTATTATTAGTAGTAGTATTATTATGATTAGTATTATTATTGTTAATAATATCATGATTATTCAAAAATTAAAAACAAATCCGCCTAAAATCCGCCTGAAGGGGGACGTGCCCGACCTAATCCCAGCCTGAGCGTTCCAGGCCACCCCCAGGGGCGCGAATATGATCGCGCTTCGCGCGTCGCGGCCTGGGCCCGAGAGGGTGCCCTTGTCCAGGCGCGTCGCGCATCGCGGGGCGCTGCGCTGGAAGTTGGGCGCCCCCGGTAGTTGTCTAGGGGGGGACCTTTCTGTACCCCCAAGGCGATCCATTCGATCGCCTGGCCCCTCAGGCGGCGCCTCCGGTGCCGCCCCTGGCGCGCTCCGCTCGCCAGGGAGGAGAGGGGTCCAGCGTAGATCCAAGAAATCCGCGCGGACGGCCAAAAGTTTATCTTTCCGGCGTTTTTTTATCTTCTACGTCTGCAGGGCCCGATCCGATTCGATTCCGATGCCCGACAATCCGATGCGGCCCTCCGAGGCCGGTTTTTCATCCTGAGTCGTTTTTGACCGTCCCGGGGGCCGGCGAGGGCCCCCAGGGGGCGAAAATAGCGAAAAGCCGCCCGTCCTGATTTTTTTCACGACGCGACCACGTTTGGTTTCCGACACCCCGACGCTCCGATGCTCAAGCTGTGGCGAAGCGTCCTGGCTCGCCTACAGCCCTACCAAACAATGTTCTAAGAACCTTTTGTGGTTTTTCCACGAAATGTTAGAACATTTCTGGCAGAGTCTGTCTTGTTTTATCACATCGGGTTTATGTTCTGAGGTCATTGTTATTGTTCTGAGAACATTTTTGGGTTACAAGAGCATTTCGTGGTAGGACTATAGGAATGCCGGGACGGTCGGTCCCTGCTCAAGATGCGGCCCTCCGAGGAGAAGGCCCGGGTTGCGCTCGCCGTGTTCACCACCCGGCCCTCGGACGTGCTGCTGCTGGACGAGCCCACCAACCACCTGGACGGCGCGGCCGTCACCGCGCTGTGCCGGGGCCTGGTCGAGCACGCCAGGAAGTCGAGGAAGATAGAACGCCATCGACGACGACGACGACGACGACGACGACGACGACGACGACGACGACGACGGCGATGCCCTGGCGGCGCCTCCGGCGCCGCTGCTGGCGCGCTCCGCGCGCCCGGGTGAGCAAGGTACCGACACCGCTGCTCCCGAGGCCTCTCGAGGGGCGCGTGTCCTGACATGTCCTGACCAGCAGAGGCGGGCCCCAGCCGTGGCGACGAGGGCCTCGCCAGAGGCCGACGAAGGGCGACCCCGAGGCCCGGGCCGCAGGCTCGGTGCCTCTCTCTCTCCTCCCTCCTCCCTCCCTCCTCCCTCCTCCCTCCTCCCCCCTCCCTCCCTCCTCCCTCCTCCCCCCTCCCTCCTCCCTCCCACCTCCCTCCTCCCCTCCCCCCTCTCTCTCTTCCTGGAGGAAGGGCGGCGCGATCGTGGTGGCGTCCCACGACAAGGCCTTCGTGCAGGCGCTGCAGGTGACCGACGTGGCCAGCGTGTCGCGCGGCGGCGCCGGCGAGGCGGGCAGCGTGCGAGTGGACGCGGGGCCGCTGCCCGACGCGTTCTCGCCGAGCTCCGCGCCATCCCGGCGGGGGCAGAGGGGTTGCGGTAGGTTCGCATCGCGTCGCCCAGCGGCGACCCCGCCGCCAGCGTTCAACGTTGAACGCCGTTGGCGACCCATAAGCGGTCGATGTTGGAAGATCTGGCGGCTGGGAACCGGCCGATCGTGCAAGGTTGAGTGGAGCGACCACCGCGGAGTCAGAAGCCAACGCCGAGATCGGCAAGGTACGAACCTGCCGCAGCCCAGGGGTGGGCACTGCGCGTTCTCAGGCGACCTCGCGCCCCGGGTCCCCGATCTCGTCGGTCCCTGGAGGTTCTGCTGCCTCGGGATGCGATCCGGCAGCTGCTCCTCGCCGAGAGCGCTCCAGGGGTGCCCGGATCGTCCAGAACGGCCGCCGGAGACCCGAGCTATGATTCGAAAACCGAGTGAGCCTTCGCCGGAGTGGCCTGTGGTGCGGGCCCAAAGGGCGGGCGTCGGCTGCGCGTCAGAATGACCCTTCGCTAGAGTCACATTTGGTGTGGGCCCTGTGGGGTCGAAAAAGAAAATGCACACATATACATATACATATACTTATTTATATATATATACATACACATATACATTTGTCCTGGTGCAGGGTTCACTGGCCCCGAGGGGATGTGCCCCATGGTTCCACAGCCCCCCCAGATGGGACGGGGGGGACGACGACGACGACGACGACGACGACGACGACGACGACGCCGCCGCCGCCGCCGCCGCCGCCGCCGCCGCCGCCGCCGTCGCCGCCGCCACCGCCGCCGCCGCCGATGACAATGACGACGACAACGACGACAACGACGCCGACGACGAACACGTCGACGCCAACGCCGACGCCGACGCAGACGCCGGCGCCGACGACGACGCAGACACCGACGCCGATGCCGCCGCCGACGCCGACGCAGACGCCGACGCCGATGCCGACGCCGACTCCGACGCCAACGATGACGACGCCGACGCCGCCGCCGACGACGACGACGGCGACGACGACGACACCGACGCCGACGCGCCGACGCCGACGCCGACGACGCCGACGGATGACGCCGACGACGCGGACCACGACGGCGACGACGGTGACGACGACGACGACGACCACGACGACGACGGCGGCGGCGACGACGATGACGACCACGACCACGACGACGACGTCGTCGGCGACGACGACGACGACGAAGACGGCTACGACGGTACCACACCACATCCACAGGGGTAGAGGCGAGGGCCCAGGCATTCTCTTCCACCACGCCACGACCACGGGTGGCGGAGCGATCCCATTCGCGAGGTCTTCGCGAGGCTCATGGTTGTACCCATCCAGCGGAGGGGGGCGCGATCCCATATGCATTGGGGGGAGGGGGGAGGCAACCCTGGATCATATATATATATATATATATGTGCGTTGTGTTGTGTTGTGTTGTGTTGTGCTGTGCTGTGTTGTGTTGTGCTGTGCTGTGCTGTGCTGTGCTGTGCTGTGTTGTGTTGTGTTGTGTTGTGTTGTGCTGTGCTGTGTTGTGTTGTGTTGTGTTGTGTTGTGTGTTATACACACGCCTTTCGGAGCTCCGCGCGGATTTCGTGGATCGGCGCCCGGAAGCCCCCGGCGCCCTCCGCGTGTCAGGGAGGAGCGTCCAGCGCGGACCCGAGAAGTCAGCGCGGATGCTTCTGCCGTGGGGGCCCCTGCCAAGAACCACCTTTTGCCTGCCTCCGGGGTGCCCCGAGTCTCGATGGTCTTGCGATGGACGGCGTAACTCAGGAGGGGAAAAAACACACAGACACAATTCATCGTCGATTCCCTAGAAAATATGGGAAAATATGGGAAGTGGGGGCGAAGACAAAAACCCAGAAAATATGGGAAAATATGGGGGATCGTTTTATTTGTGTGTATTTATTTGTGTGTCCTGGGGCCCCTTCAGTAACGTACCCACACCAAGAATCAATGAACGCCCTGGGGCTCCAGGGTTGGACTTCGTGTGCAAGGTTTCTTGTGGACTGGCCTCCACTGAATTTGTTTCTGCATCGGAGTGGCCGACCCGTCGCGGGAGTGACCCCTGGCGCGGGCACACGGGGGCCCCTCCCGGCACGAGCGTGCGCGCTCGAGCTTGCGCGCTTGCAATAACAGTCACGCACAAAGATCGACGAGGACGTTCCACTACTCGCAAAGTAGTTACTCGCAAATGGCCTGGATCCCCCGCGGGGGACCCACGATAAATTGCATCAAGTCAGACAGGTGTTTTTCGGACGTTTGCGAGTATGCACTTTGCGAGTGGTGGAACGCGCTCGGCGAAGAGAAGTTTGGGGACGATTGCTTTGATAATCAGGGTTGACTGTGTTTGAAGATGTGTTGACTGTTTTCCACTTTTCCTCCAACAACCGCCTGTGGGAGGACATGCCCGACCTCGCCCCTTACAGTCGGGGCCCTGAAGAAGGAACCCTTTTCGTTGGGGAGGGGCTCCGCGTTCCTTAAGTGTTTCGCAGCTTGCCGCAGGTTTTCCTTATGTTTCCGATCGGAAATCGAAGCTTAACTTATGGAAAAAAGGGGCCCTCGTTCCTTATTTTGGGTTCCTTAGGTCAAGGCCCCGACTGTAGAGCCGCGCACCGCGGGCCGCTCTTGCCTGGGATCGCTCCGGCGTGCGGCCGCACGGGCACCACGCGCTCGCAGGCGCTCCCTCCCCGCCCCGCCAAGCCTCATGAGGGGAAAAACACACACAGACACAATCAATCGTCGATTCCCAAGAAAATATAGGAAAATATGGGAATTGGGGGGGGGAGACAGAAACCCAGAAAATATTTGAAAATATGGGGAATCCTTTTAGTTGTGTGTATTTATTTGTGTGTCCCAGGGCCCCTTCAAAGCCCCGAGGCCCCCCCGGGTCAAACAGATGGCCCTTGGTGATCGTTTCCTTATGTTCGTTGTTCTTGCCGATCGGCGCGGGCCCTTGCTCAGAGCGTGAGTTACCTACCCCGCGTTCGCTTCCAGGCAAAACCGAGTCGTACCACACGCTTCCCCGTCGAGCGGCCTGACCAGTGCGGGCCGTAGTGTGGCATCGCTTGGTAGGTCTTGGAAGCGAGGGTGGTCAAAAGCGAGGTAGGTTCGCTTGCCCCCCTCTTGCGCCCCCCCTCCTCCCCCCCCCCCCCGCGGAGTTGACCTCGGCCGCCTCTGGCGCCTGTCTCGGGCAGGTGGAGCTTTCCCCCCCCCCCCTGGGACGCACTGCTGCAGGCAGTCGCAGGAAGCAGAGGTCCAGAGCCAGAGCCTCCTCCCCCTTCTGCCCAATATCGAAACGCCGGGGACTCGGGGAGGAGGGGGGAGGAGGGGGGAGGGAGGAGGAGGAGGAGGAGGAGGAGGAGGAGGAGGAGGAGGAGGAGGAGGAGGAGGAGGAGGAGGAGGAGGGAGGAGGAAAAGGAGGAGGAAAAGGAGGAGGAGGGGGCAGGGAGGAGGAAGGAGGAGGAGAACGCTCGTTGGACAAAAAGAAAATGGGGCGCTCGGGGACACACTCTCCAGGGGGCCACGCAGACGCACCCCCTTATCGAGGATGGGTGCCCCACCGCCACCGCGCCTCCCTGGGCTGGGCCCTGAATCTGGGCCGGGCCCTGAGTTTCTGGTCCAGTCTTTCGAGTCGGGCATGCCCCCCTGCAGGAGGAATCTTCCAGAACAGCTTCAGAAGGGTCAGGTGGCGACTTTTCGTGCCCTCTGGATTATTTGTGGGTCATCTTGACTGGGTGTCGTCTTTCTTCCGAAATCCGCTCGTGGGAGGACGTGCCCGACCGAAGCCCGGTCGGAAACCACACGCAAAGTCGGGGACTGGCGTCGCCACTCCCTCCATTATATATCCCCACGGCGGGCTCGTGCCGCGTCGACGCGGCGGCAGCCCCAGCGCGGGCGCTCCGGTGCGATCGCCAAGGGCGCCGCCCTTGATAGGGGGCCACATTGCGAAACCCTACCCTACCCCCTCCTCCTCCCCCTCCTCCTCCTCCTCCTCCTCTCTCCTCCTCCTCCTCCTCCTCCCTCCTCCTCCTCCTCCTCCCCCTTCCTCTCCTCCCCTTCTCCCCAAGGGGCCACATGCGAACCCTACCCCTACCCCTCACGATTTCTGAGGGGTGGGGTGGGGTTCACACTTCGGTCGGGAGCTCCCGAGCGAAGTGAACCCCACCCTCCCCCTCGGAAATCGTGGGGGGTAGGGGTAGGGTTCGCATGTGGCCCCGTACTCGAGGGCGCGAAGTCAGTCGCGCTTCGCGGTTCGGCTCCGAGTCCTCCCCATCCTCTTCTTCTCCTCTGGGATTGTGATGTTCCAACTACTGTAGCCTTGACCACCAGAAAGACTTTCGAGCACCAAAAAAGGACCGAAACTTAAAGGTGTTCACGTGTCGGGCCCTGGGAGACACTCGCCCGACACTGTTTCGACACTCTTTCGACACTTTTCCGTGTGCTCGAACATATTTCTGGGATGTGGTCTTTAAGTACGATGGGAGCAACAGGACCCTGGGAGGCGGCGCAAGAGCGCGAAGTTGTTCGCACTTCGCGCTTCGCGCAGCGCGAGAGCGCGAAGTCGGGAGCCCTTGGCAAGCGCCGCCAGTGGCCCGGAATCCGCCGACGTCGGCAGTCCGGAATCGGGCGGGTGGTGATGGGAGTGGCCCGAATCGGGGGCGGCAAAGAGGGGGGTGATGACTAGGGTTAAGTCGGGCCTGTCCCTCTACAGGAGGGAAATTCAAAAATAGTAAAATAATAGTCTGGGGACGATTTTTTGACCATTCTTGAAGATTTGTAGGGTATTTTGGGGGTGCTGTTTATTTTTCGCCCAAAATCCCCCTGCAGGCCCGACCTAAGACTGGGGGGGGGATGGATATCATGGCGTGGGCCTTGATATTTCCCCAGATCTCGTGGCGCCTCCCCCCACCCTCTGGGCCGCGCACGTGCGGCCGTGGTCGTGATCTGCGCCACCCCCCCCCTCTTGGACGCCCCCCTCTGGTGATGGGCCTTTTTTTCCGCCACCACCACCATACGTTGAAGGGGGGAAGGAGGAGGAAGAGGAGGAGGAGGAGGAGGAGGACGAAGAGGAGGAGGAGGAGGTGGAGGAAGAGGAGGAGGACCAGGAGAGGACGAGGAGGAGGAGGAGGAGGAGGACGAAGAGGAGGAGGAGGAGGAGGAGGAGGAGAGGACGAAGAGGAGGAGGAGGAGGAGGAGGAGGAGGACGAGGAGGAGGAGGAGGAGGACCCCCTCGCCCTCCAACTTCTGGTGGTGGTGGTGGAAAACAGGCCCATCATCTTGGCCGCCCCCCCGACATGGGAGCGGCCCGAACATCTGGGGCGAAGAGAGAGGGCCCCCCAAAGGGGCGTTTTGGGGTCAAGTCGAGAGTGTCCCTCTACAGGAGGAATGCTCGAACATAATCCAAGAATAGTCTGGGGACGATCTGTTTGAGCATATTTGGGCCATTTGGGAGTCTGTTTGGGGTGTTCTTCATTTTTCACCCAAAATCCCCTTGTAGGGCCCCCCAAAGAGGCGTCTTGAGGTCAAGTCGGGAGTGACCCTCTAAAGGAGGAGTATTCGAAAACAGTCAAACAAAAGGCTTGGGACGATTTGTTTTAGCATGTTTTGCCATTTGGGAGCATTTGTTTTGTTTTTTCGCCCAAAATCCTCCTGTATGGGGGACAGGGCCTGACCCGACGCCAGTGGCCCCGAATCGGCCGACATCGGCGTCCAGAATCGGGCGGGCGGTAGTGGGAGTGGCCCGAATATTTGGGGTGAAGAGAAATGGCCCTCAAAAGGGGCGTTATGGGGTCAAGTCGGGCGTGTCCCTCTACAGGAGGAGTATTCGAAAACAGTCAAACAATAGTCTGGGGACGATTTGTTTGAATGTTGTTTGCCCATGTGGGATAATTTTTTGGGCGCTCTTTGGTGTTTCGCCCAAAATCCCCCTGTAGGGGGACAGGCCCGACCCGACGCCAGTGGCCCCGAATCGGCCGGCATCGGCATCCAGAATCGGGCGGGCGGCATTGGGAGTGGCCCGAAAATTTGGGGTGAAGAGAAAGGGCCCTTCGAAGGGGCGTTATGGGGTCAAGTCGGGCGTGTCCCTCTACAGGATGAGTATCCGAAAAAAGTCAAAAAATAGTCTGGGGACGATTTCTTTTTAGCTGTTGTTTGATCATTTTAGAGTATGTTTGGGGTCTGTTTCATTTTTCGCCCAAAATCCCCCTGTAGGGGGACAGGCCCGACCCGACCGACGCCAGTGGCCCCGAATCGGCCGACATCGGCATCCAGAATCGGGCGGGCGGCATTGGGAGTGGCCCGAATATTTGGGGTGAAGAGAAAGGGCCCTCTAAAGGGGTGTTTTGGGGTCAAGTCGGGCGTGTCCCCTACAGGAGGAATGTTCGATAATGATTTGTTTGAGCATTTTTTGCCATTTGGGAGTATTTTCGGGGTGTTTGTTTCAGATTTTCGCTCAAAATCCCCCTGTAGGGGGACAGGCCCGACCCGACGCCAGTGGCCCCGAATCGGCCGGCATCGGCATCCAGAATCGGGCGGGCGGCATCGGGAGTGGCCCGCATATTTGGGGTGAAGAGAAAGGGCCCTCTAAAGGAGCGTTTTGGGGTCAAGTCGAGAGTGTCCCTCGACAGGAGGACTACTCGAACATAGTCCAAGAATAGTCTGGGGACGATCTGTTTGAGCATATTTGGGCCATTTGGGAGTATGTTTGGGGTGTTCTTCATTTTTCGCCCAAAATCCCCCTGTAGGGGGACAGGCCCGACCTGACGCCAGTGGCCAGGAATCGGCCGACATCGGCAGGGCCTACAGGGGGCGTCTTAGGGTTCAGTCGGGCGCGTGTCCCTCTACAGGAGGAAGATCAGAAATAGTCAAAGAATAGTCTGGGGACGGTGTTTTCTAGAGTGTTTTTGATCATGATGTTTGGTAATGTTTGGACTACTCCGTGCAAAATGTCCGTCCAAAATGCTTAGATAATTTTTGGACTACAGTCGGGGGCTTGACCTAAGGAACCCTAAATAAGGAACGAGGCCCCTTTTTTCCATCAGCTCAACCTCGATTTCCCATGGAAAACCTCAGGAAAACCTGAGGCAAGCTGCACAACACTTAAGGAACGCGGAGCCCCTCCCCAACGAAAAGGGTTCCTTCTTCAGGGCCCCGACTGTAAGGGGCGAGGTCGGGCATGTCCTCCCACAGGCGGGTGTTGAAGGAAAAGTGGAAAACAGTCAACACATCTTCAAACACAGTCAACCCTGGTTATCAAAGCAATCGTCCCCAGACTTCTCTTCGCCGAGCGCGTTCCACCACTCGCAAAGTGCGTACTCGCAGACGTCCGAAAAAAACACATGTCTGACTTGGTGCAATTTATCGTAGATCCCCCGCGGGGGATCCAGGCCATTTGCGAGTAACTACTTTGCGAGTAGTGGAACGTCCTCGTCGATCTTTGTGCACTTCTGATTTTCCGTCCAACATCCGCCCGTGGGATGACATGGGAGGACATTTTCCGATCCATTTCCCGTCGGGGCCGCTCTTTCGAGCCAGCAGGTGGCCCCCAGAGGGACCCCTATAGAGTGCGCCCCTGCAGGGCTAAGTCTCTCCTCCCCCTCCTCCTCCTCCTCCTCCTCCTCCTCCTCCTCCTCCTTCTCCTCCTCCTCCTCCCCAAGAGGCCTCCAAGAGGTCCTCCAGGAGGGCCCGAAGAGCCAAGATCCGCGATCTTCCGTGGGTTTTTGGGGGGATTTGGGCATTTGCGCCTCTTCGGCTGTCCGACGGCCCCAGACGGCCCAAGAGACCCCCGAGGTCGCCCCAAGATCGCCCAAGAGGCCTCCAAGATGGCCCCGTGACGGCCCAAGAGGCCCCCATGACCACCCGCCCGAGTGAAGCCGCGATCGTTCCAGGCGGAATGGTCCGCGCGGTGTCGCGGCCCCTGGATGCACGTATCGAGTGCCCCCGCAGGGCAATGCTCTCCACCCCCCATTTACGTCACCCCCCATGACCACCCGCCCGAGCGAAGCCGCGATCGTTCCAGGCGGAACGGTCCGCGCGGCGTCGCTGCCCCCGGAGGCACGCCTCGAGTGCTCCCGGCTGGGGTCCGAGCGGATGGGGTCGGAGGACCGCATTGCACCGCCGGCGCATCGGCGGTGCGGCTCGATGTGGAGCCCGATCTTCTCCTCGCTTTCCAGGAGGGGAAGAAACACACAGACACAATGAATCGGCGATTTCCTTGAAAATATAGGAAAACATGGGAAGTGGGGGGGAAACCCAAACCCCCCAAAATATGGAAAAATATGGGGGATCTTTTTATTTGTGTGTATTTATTTTTGTGTCCTTGGGCCCCTTTAGCTTTCACCGATGCATCGCCGGGGTTGTCGAAGCATCGCCGACGCGGCGGTGATGCATCGACGATGCAGCGCGATCCTCCGACTCCAGCTGCTCGGGCCACACTTGAGCGACGTGAGGAAACGGCGTCGTCTTCGCCGCTGCTGCCGCGCAAGCTGCCCGCGCAAGGTCGCGCGCGAGCGGCCTCGTTTCCGATGTGGCGTGCCGCGGCGGCGTAAGGTCGCTACTTCATCACGCGCAAGACCCGTGTTGTTTTCCGCCGCTCACATCTGGGATGCCTCAAGTTCTGGCGTCGCTAGAGGTGCCCCTGGCCCGAGGTGCCGCCAGGATCTCCAGGGAGGCCCCCAGGGGACCCACCATTGAGCGAACAGCTGGGGGCACCTTGGACTACCGTCGGGGCGCTGAAGAAGGAACCCTTCTCGTTGGGCAGGGGCCCGGTGTCCCTGGACTGTCTCACAATGTGTGCCTCGGGTGTTCCTCCGGCCTTCCATGGGAAGTCGAGGTTGAGCTTCTGGGAAGAAGGGGCCTCGTTCCTTGTTCAGGGCCCCTTAGGGTCAGCGCCCCGACTGTCGAGGAGCACCTTCTTAGCTCAGAGCGTGAATTGCCTACCCCGCTTTCGCTTCCAGGCAAAACCAAGCCATACCGCGCGCCTCCTCGTCAAGCGGCCTGACCAGTACCGTCTGCAATTCGGCACCGTCTGGTATCTCCTGGAAGCGAGGGTGGTCAAAAGCGGGGTAGGTTTGTTTTCCCCCGATTCTTAGCAGCCCCCCCGGCGAGCGCAGCGCGCCCCCCCCTGGGCAGCGGCGCCCCTGCTGCAGCCGCCGGGCCCCTCGCCACTGGCCGCGGTGGCCACCGGCGGCGCGAACAGCGCCAACGTCGCGGAGGCGGCCGTGGAGGAGGTCCTGCTGCCCAGGCTTGTCCAGGAGGGAAAAAGACACCAGGAGGAGGAGGAGGAGGAGGAGGAGGAGGAGGAGGAGGAGGAGAAGGCGGAGGAGGAGGAGGAGGAGGAGGAGGAGGAAGAGGCGGAGGAGGCGGAGTAGGAGGTCGCAGGCCCAGTCTTACAGCGGGCGGCTTGAATAAGGAACGCTTACTTTTCAAGAGGGGCTCGGTCGTTCCTCAGGTTTGCATGCGTTATCTGCAGTTCCTTGTGCGTTGTTTGTGATGTATCGTTCCTTGTGCGTTATCCCTTGGGATAAAAAAGGGGCTTCGTTCCTGATGTGTCGTTCCTCAGGTCAGGCCGATGACTGCATTCAGGAGGAAAAAAACACACAGACACAAGTAATCCTCGATTCCCAGAAGATAGGGGAAAAGATGGGAAGTTTGGGGGGGAGGACAAACACCTCCAAAAAGATTGGAAAATATGGGGAATATGTTATTTGTGTGTCTTTATTTGTGTGTCCCAAGGCCCCTTCACTTATGATGTTCCAACCTGCTTTAGTGATGTTCCAACCTGCTTTAGTCGGGAGCCGGGCAAGGGTTGCTAAATCCGTGGCTGCTTTAAAATCGACCTCCGGGGAGTTGTCTTCGTCCTTCCGGGAAGAAGCCCGTTGATTGTTTCGCGTGCCGCGCCTCATTCCGGGAAGTTGTTTTTTCCTTCCGGGAGGGCCGTTTTAGCAGCCACGGTTTTAGCAGCCCTCGCCCAGCTTCCGATTTAGCCTGGAGCACGAGAAATAATTTCGAGCACCAAAAAAAGAGAACCGAGGCTCGAGGGTTTTCGCGCGTCGGGCCCTGGGAGACGCTCGTCCGACACTGTTTCGGCACTTGTTCGACACTGTTCTGGGTGCTCGACATTATTTCTGGGATGTGGTCGTTAAGTACGATGGGAGCAACATAAGCCCAGGCTCGAGAAGCAGGCCGCGCCGAAGGCGGCGGTCGATGCCACGTCGGCGGCGAAGGCGTTCAAGGCCAAGGTGAGGGATGCCGAAAAACTCAGAGGAGGAAAATGTACACTTCCCCCGTCTTACACTTTTTGGGCCTCCTAGGAGGCCCTCGTCGCCAACGCTGGAGTCGCTTCGAAATTCTGGTCAGAACACGCCCCGGGAGAGGTGTGGGAATTAGCGGTATCGGTATGGTTTGGCTTCCCCCAAACGGGGTCGTTTTCGCCGGCAGTCGCGCGTGAGTTGCCCGCGTGAGGGCGCGCGTGAGCGCCCCTCGTGTCCAGTGTGGCGTGCCGCGCTGGTGGGCTGCGCAAGTTGCGGCTCAGGGTCGCTATGCCATCTCGCGCGAGGCCCGTTTCTGATCGTCGCCCAGGTGGCGACGATCGAGGCGGAGGAGCTGATGGAGTCGATCGAGAAGCAGGAGACGGAGCTCGAGGAGGCGCAGCAGGCGATGCACGAGAGGTGGACGGAGGATGATGGGCCTGTTTTCCACCACCACCACCACAAGTTGGATGCGGGGGAAGGAGGTGAAGGATGAGGAGGAGGAGGAAGAAGAAGAGGGGGAGGAGGACCCCCTCCCCCCCTCCAATGTATGGTGGTGGTGGTGGAAAACAGGCCCATCAGAGGAGAAGTACGAGACCGTCCAGAGACTGGAGGCAGAGCTGGAGGCCCCCGCTGCCGCGGAGGGGTGGGGGGGGCATTGGGCGACGAGAGCGACGATCCGTCCTCCTCCTTCTCCTCCTCCTCCTCCTCCTCCTCCTCCTCCTCCTCCTCCTCCTCCTCCCCTACCTCGCTCCTCCCCTCCTCCTCCTCCTCCTCATCCTCCTCCTCCTACTCCTCCTCCTGCTTCCTGCTCCTAACTCCTCCTCCTTCTCCTCCTTCTCCTGCTGCTCCTCCTCCTGCTCCTCCTCCTGCTCTCCCTCCTCCTCCTCTCCTCCTCCTCCTCCCTCCTCCTCCTCTCTCATGCTCCACCTCCTGCTCACTCTCCTCCTCCTGCTTCCTCCCCTGCTCCTATCCTCCTCCTCCTCCTCCTGCTTCCTCCTCCTCCTCCTCCCTCCCTCCTCACACCCCACCTCCTCACTCCTGTCCTCCTCCTACCACCCTCTCCTCCTCCTGCCCTCTCCTCCTCCTCCTCCTCCACCCTGCTCCTCCTCCCCCCCCCTTTCTTTTTATTCCCCCTTTTTCCTCCTCCTCCTCCTCCTCGTCCCTCCCTCTTTCCTGCTCCTCCTCCTCCTGCTCCTCCTCCTTCATCCTCCTCTTTCCTCCTCCTCGCTCCCTCCTCCTGCTCCTGCTCCTCTCCTGTTCATCCCTCCTCCTCCTCTCTCTCCTCCCTCCACCTGCTCCTCCTCCTCTGCTCTTCCGCATCCTCCTCCCCTCCTCCTCCCCTCCTCCTCCTCCTCCTGCTCCTGCTCCTGCTCCTCCTCCTGCTACCTGCTCCTGCTCCTCTCTCCTCCTCCTCCTCCTCCTCCTCCTCCTCCTCCTCCTCCTCCCCTCCTCCTCCTCCTCCTCCTCCTCCTCCTCCTTCTCCTCCTCCTCCTCCCCCACCACCTCGCCCCCTCTCCTCATTGCCCCCCACTCCCCTTTCGCCTGCGCTCGCATTGCGGCTCCCTCTTCTCGCCCCTGCTTGAGTGCCTCGGCAAGCTCCGCGGCCGCGCGCGGGAGCGGCCACGAGGGGGTCCGAGTGCATGTCCCCAGGACCCCCGATGATGGGGGGGTTGGGGGAATGGGAGGTCGCACGACCAAGGGCGCCCTCGAGGGCGCGAAGTTATTCGCGCTTCGCGGTTCGGCTCCGACTCCTCTTTATCCTCCCGTTCTCCCTTGGGAGGCGGCGCGAGAGCGCGAATTTATTCGCATTTCGCGATTCACGCAGCGCGAAGGGCGAAGTTGGGAGCCCCTGGATCCCCGATGAGGGGGGGTAGGGGGAAGGGGAGGTCGCACGACGCAGCAGCGTGAGGCTTCCAGGGCACACAGCTTCGTTCCGTGCGGTCGCGAGACCGCACTGCAAGCATCAGAAAGAGTGGCTGGCTGCCTTGGTCGGCGTGCGTTGGGCCAACGACGCGCTGACGACGTCACATGCGGATGGCCCGAGCACAGCCAAGCGATGAGGCAAGCGGTGCCCAAGTACAGTCAAACCCCACAGTAAGAACGCGTTGCTTAACCGAGGCTACCCTTGCAGCCCTGCCTCGTCGGTCTATCCTGAGCCATGCTGACGTCCAAAGCGCTCACAATGGTAAATGGGGTTTCCAGGGGTCTTGCACCTGTACCCTGTGTCCTGGTGTACCATGGATTTCGATTGTAGACGGTAGAGTAGTGGATGAAGAACGTGGAAGGCGGGCCACCCACCAGGGGCGCGCAGACCATCGCGCGTCGCGCGGTGCGGTCTGGGCCAGAGCGGCTGCTTTTCTCCAGGCGGGCGGCGCGATGGTGGCCGCGCGCCGCGCGCGAGGCGGGACGGGGGGGGGGTGCGCGCGTGCCCTCCAGAGGGCACTCGAGCCCGCGTGGGAGGGCGCTGCGGGGAGGGATAACCAGCAGGAGAAACAGCGA